ACACCAGAGAAACCAAAAAGCTGCAAGGGATTCGAAACCTATGGGAGTAGGAGAATCCAGTACCAATAACCCAACATCACTGAACCAGACTGGGGGCAAACCCCCAGTGTCCAGGAAACTTTTTTCTCCACAGGAGGACACTAAAGAAAATAGGACTCAGAAAGAAGCTGCAAACGAAGAGGACTTGGTGACTGATGCCTTCGAATATGAGGGGGAATTCGTCTTCAATGTGAACTGCAATGTAGTTTCGGTGCTGCCTTGTGAGTACAATCAGGAAACAGAGGTTTATGCTGATGAGGAGACTGATGAGGACGAAATGGCCAGACATAGGCCAGTATGCTATTATGTGATGAACAATGGAGCGGTCGAAGAGCAGAATGCTTTCTTCGAGAAGCCAGACGAGGGAATGAAAAACCATCTCAAACCCTTATTCATCAGGGCAAAGGTGGAACAATATGGTGTGAACAAGGTTCTGGTGGATGGTGGAGCTGTTGTCAATCTGATGCCCCAATTCATGCTGAAGAGAATAGGAATGCATGATTCCGATGTTAGACCTCACAACATGGTACTTTCAAATTATGAAGGGAAGGTTGGCCAGACTTTGGGAGTAATACAAGTTAACCTGACAGTTGGTTCCCTCACAAGGCCAACAATGTTTATGGTCATTGTTGCAAAAGCAAATTACAATCTGTTGCTTGGCAGGGAATGGATCCATGGAGTTGGAGCAATACCTTCTTCAATGCATCAAAGGCTGGTGTTGTGGAGAGATGATGGGATTGTTGAAAATATAGAAGCAGACCAAAGTTACTATATGGCAGAAATTAACAATATGGACAAAAGAAATTTCGACAGAAATATGGCCAACATAGGGCCATGTCACCCACCTGAGGAATATTTCGAGCCTAATGAAAACGCTTATTATTCCCTAACCTTGCGTCCCAATGGATTCCAATGGGATAGCGAAATCATGTGGGATGGGCAGGTGACTGAGAAAGATGGAGAGACTTCGACGATACGACCAACTGGCTGGGCAAGCGAAGGTTATTATGATTGAATCGAATTACTACCAAAAGATTTCGGCCTATTTGGCTGAGAACAAACGAAGAACGGCTTTCGAAGCCGAAATACAAAACATGGTTGTCGAAGCCATAGACAAGAAAGAAATAGCATGTTTTCAAGAACAAGTATTTCTTTATATCTGTCGAAATACATGTTCTTGGGGGGCAATTTGTTAGCTGGCTATTTCGAATAAGGAAGAAACCACTATCACAATAATATTTCGAATGAAGCACCTAAGGAGATTAATATCAATATTGGATATTAGTGGGAGATATGGAGTCATTATGCTAAAGGATTATTCAATTTCCAGTGGATTTCAATTTGGACTTGTTTTGGTGTTCGAATTATAAAAGAGCTCCTTTATGTAAGGGTGCCAGAAGTTGGAAACGGTCCAGGTAATTGGGTTATTTCGAAAGCAACAAAGAAACAAGATGCTTCGATTGGTACAAATTTCGAATTTCAAATAAAGAGCGCCATTCTAGAAGACGCGTGGAAGTCAGCAAACATAGGAAGCCTGCATGCTTCGAATGTGGCGTGATTTTATATTAGGGCCGTTAGGGTCAAGACACTATAAATAGGTGTTCTTATGTTAGATTTAAAAATATGTTCACTTTTATGTAATATGTTCACTTTTATGTACTAAAAGATCTCAAAATACTCAAACTTATGTGAATTAAGGAAAACGAGTCAGAAGATACAATGTACGTATTGAACATCATTACTTTTTTACAATTTCAATACAAGTCTTGTTATGTTTAGTTCGCCATTACAGTATTTCTGCCCTTTAAATCCTTCGATTTCCTTGCATTTCCTTGCCCTTTAAATCCTTCGATTTCCTTGCATTTCCTTGCCCTTTAAATCCTTCAATTTCCTTGCATTACCTTGTTTTACTTGCCTTTAAATACAGTCTAATTCGAACTGCCCTTTAAATCCTTCGATTTCCTTGCATTTCCTTGTTTTACTTGCCTTTAAATACAGTCTAATTCGAACTGCCCTTTAAATCCTTCGATTTCCTTGCATTCCTTTGTTTTACTTGCCTTTAAACACAATCACTTCGTTAGAACTTTACTTTCACTTTATCCTTTTAGTCAAACACTTATCTTTACATTCAAGCCCAAGTCTAATTCGAAGCCTTTCCTGCCTACATTCAGTTAGTTTATTCCTATAGACCATTTTAGAAATATTTCCTAAGAATCTCGTATTCGAACTTAACATACAATATAAGTCTATCAATATAATAGATATGAACATGGAAATAAGTTATGACACATGTGTTCTAGGATCAATCTAGTCGATCCTGCAAGTAACCAATAATAATTAGTAAATTGGAAGACTAGCGGTTGTTTACTAGAAATCACTGTAAACAATATGTATAACGCTACAATACTAAATTATATGAATCAATATATATCTTCACTGTCACATGAATGATAAATATATTATGAACAATATATTTTCATATGGTTCTAACGAGATAATATATTTACGAACACGCTACAGTATATGTAAATATATCAAATTGGGTTCTCAATTTATCCCTCAATTTCACCAATATATCAATTTCAAACACAAACAAAAACAAATTTACAAACGCAATCCCACATACTATTCATCATATACCCTATTATAGAGTCAGAACCCCATCCTTACCTTGGATTGAAGGTTGCTCTAACTCTCCGGTTGACTCATAGATTTTCTTCTTGCTAGCAACTTTATGTATCTCCTCCCAAACCCTTATTTTCTTCTTCTGCCAAAACCCCTATTTGTTCTTACTGCTACTTCTCTTTCTCATTATTTCTAAATAACTAATATAATAACACTATTATTCTTATTATGTCTTATTGGGCTTAAATTCCTACATCCCTTTCTAATACTTCTAACATTAAAATAGACCCACATAATTAATATTTAGTATTATTCCAATACTTATTTTTACAACTTAATTCAACTAAAACCAACACAACTTAAATCAATATAACTTCAAAAATTAAATCAGAAAATATTCGAGAATATTTAATTAAATAATTAATTAAATATTGGACGTTACAAACCTTGTTATTGGAACTCGGATATGCAAAGCCAACCAGAATGAATAACACAATAAGCGAATTATATCCTTGAATCAATTATAACTTTATTTCTCGTTTAATCTACTGAACTCTGTAACGCTATTTCCAATGACAATAAGCAAAAACATTGAACAAGTTAATTTGTCAAATACTTGGTGTGCGAACGAGTTTTCAGAATTTTTCTTTGTGTTGTGTTAATATAAAAAACTAATTATAATCAAATGTGGTTATAAGCTTATCAACAACAATCTAAAGCAAAAACAATTGCGGAAAATTCTTACGATTCGATCAATAACGCAATGCTATTTGATAAATTACTTAATAAAAATAAAGCAAGTAAAGCGATAAAAGAGAGATCGACACGAGGATTTGTTTACGCAGTTCCCCACTTTCGTCCTCGCGTATGGATATTCTGCGCCTAATTTCAATGTATAATTAGGATACTTTCTTACTATATAAAAAGTCGATATACAAGAGAAGTGTTCAAGAGAAACTATACAAACACCATCGTTTTGTTGTTGATTCAACCCATTCTCTTCTTTTGACATTGAGTAAGACCAAGACAACAATGAATGCCAATTGACTTGTCGATATTGCTACTCATTTGCATTCTTTATCTCCAAAGCTTTCACGCACGATCAATTGCACCTATTGCAATACAAGACTTCAATTCGATTCGCGTTCTCTCGCTACTCCCTTTGTGTTATTTATCTCCAAAGGCTTTCACTTGGCCGCAATCCTCTCTTGAACGTCTTGCACGTAAATCCCAAAATCTACCAAAGATCTTGGAGGACAAACTCTGAGGTTTTTCCGGATGAAGACCCCTACAAATCTCAACTCAATATTATTGGCTACATAAGAACCTAATCAAACCTTATCAGGCTTTCGCCTAGTTGACACTCCAACAAAAGATTATTATGTGTGATTTATTAGTGTGTAGACATAGGAAGTAGGTTGAAGATGATGAGCATATGCAGGACATTTTTATGATATCACCTGTTTGGAATGAAGCATGAATGGTGTATTTATAGTTTTGGAAGTTTGGGTGCAAAGAGGTAATTTTCGAAATTAAAAAAAATTGACCAATTGAAATAGCTTGTGTCGGCCTGAAGGATACATGTGCCGACACATAGTGTCAAATATAACAGCATGTGTAGGCCTGAAAGGACACACATGTCGACTGAAATCAAACAAAGACTACATGCTTATTTAAGACAATAGATGTGTTAGCCTGAAGCACGTATGTACCACCACATAGGACTCAAAACTCCAAGATGTGCCGATCGAAAATGGCTGTGTGTCGGTCGAAACAAGTCAGTGGCTACAGACTTTAATATTGAGTTACACGTGTCAGCTTGAAATGATTATGTGTCGGCACATGTAGTGTATTTTTGAGCTGAAAATTGTTTTTGATGATTTTGGACAATTTCAAAGTGGGTTTTCATGATTCCTAAGACCAACCAATATACCAAAATGTGAAACTGTTTCCTTGTTTTGACATCATACAAAATATTTAATGGTAAAGTTGTACTCACATAAATACCCTCCTGTACATGAGAGTCAAGTATTCACTTCTTAACCCTTTCTCATTACATTTACACTCTTGAGTATCGAAGTGGCAGGTACACCCCACCTTTGTTGAACGCTGTCTTGCTGGCCACTATCTGTTCTGATCACATTTAAGATTTTGACTGTGTGATTGTGAGAAAATATTGACAGCATGGGGATTAAATTCCGCGACTCAACCTTACTCTCTGATTTTTCTATATCTTGCAACACAAAATTAACTTAATTTGTTGCATAAAAAGACCAAAACAAGTTAGGAAATTCATTTTCCAATAACCTTGTAATTACATCACAGTTTGAAATCAAATGGTCGTTTTCTCTGTAAAACCCTTATTCACCACCATCTTTGTCGTTTCCCTCACTTTCCTTGTCGTTTTCACATTGCTATCGCCTCGTTACCCTTTCTCCCCAAAATCGGATTTCCGGAGAACCCTCACTGTATGCTTCGCAATTTCAATTTCCCTTTTTCTTTCTAGGTTTATTTTGCCAAAAAAATTTGAACTTGGCAACTGGGTATTTTCAATATGAATTTTTAGTATCTCACATAGTAACAATTTTCTATTTTTATTATTAATTTTTCCTTGTGACTGATCTATGAATTGTTGGGGTTGCAGAGGGGAGGTAGATATCATGGAATGGTGACCTTGCAATCAAATTGGTACTTTTTGCTTAACCAAATCATATTTTTGGTTCTATTGTTAACTTTCAACTTTATAGGTTAAAAGTTGGTTATTTTTTTTTATTAACTTTTGTGATTACTTGATTCGTTTATACTTAGTATAGTTATAATTATTTGTTGGGATTGAACTTTTAGAAAAAACTTGGAACAATTCTACTTGTGTTTGAATGATTGGAACCTTGAGTATATGCTTAGCTTTACTTTGATCGTTGAAGCATTAACACGACACTGGCAGTAGTTTGAGAAAGTATAAGTAATTCAATGTAACTACGAGAAAATAGAGGTAATTGGATGTAACCATGTCTCCGTGTCGAACACTTATACCCGTGGATCAATGAATACAACTTTCTTATGGACTATCAAGTATCAATGCTGCATAGACATTGATATTGGAACTTAGAAGTTAGTGCAACTGAGGAGTTTTAAGTGGATAGGGTAAAGTTGGTTGGTTGAGTCGTGGGATGAGGGTTGATGATTGGCTTTTTATTTTCTGAATCAACCTTAATTGGCTTTCATTGCCGACGTCACTTTCGTGTTTTCTTTATTCATTGAATGTTGCAGCTCTACCATTAGAAAGCACTGGATATATCAGAGTGGATTGCTACGATGGCCTCAACCAAATATGAAAAGATGTGGGTGGTTGAAGACGACTCTTGAATTTCAACTTCAGGACCCTATGTTGATGTTCGATATTCTTTTGCTTGTTTCTTGAAATTGATATAAAATCTGCCGGGATTGCCCTTCTGTGACGGTGTGGGAATTGTCCGGCTGTCAAATACAATGTGCGTCCTACCAAAGTTTGAGGTGGATTCATATAGGAATAAATCAAGGCAATATATTTTTCCATTTCTGTGGAATTGGTTTTATTTGAAAATAATGGTTATTGGTTGGTATTATTGCTGTGGTTTTCCAGATGTACACTACTTCATTCCACGTACGGATGGCTTTGTCAAAGTCGTCAAAATGTTACCACCGGGAGATTGCAACTAAAGAACCTGCTCAAGTGGATTGTAGGAAAAGGAAAAGGCGAATTTGATTATGTTGAAAGCGTTCTCTCATCTCTTTTAATCACATCAGCAATATCCCAAAGAAATCACAGGTATGATTACGTATCTTTCAATCTAAGATATTGTTTATTCAAACAATTTCATGGCGAATGAGCTTTTGGTCATAAACTATATCCCCAACTTGGTCTTTGAATTAAGAGAAATTAAAAAAAGTCCCTAAAACTATAAATCATCGGTCATTTTAGTTTTTGGCCATAACTCTCTATGCAGTATTGTGAAATAGCGGCGCTATATTACTTTCGCATAACGAAATTTGAACAAATTGCCACTGTTCCATGATACCCTATTTAACACAAATTGTTATCAAATAGCGGCTAATCTTCAGTGTAACTGAATTTGAACAAACCACTACTTTTTGTGATAGACAACACTACCTCTGAGTCCCATTGAGTTTTAACTAACTCTTATAAGGACTGATTTGATATTTATAATTAACATTTCAGGGACTAATTTGAAATAATTGTTAATAGAGGGAAATGCTCGGACAAAAATGATAGACGATTTAGATTTCCAAAGACCTTTTTTTTGTTTTGACAGTATTCCCCTAACTAATGGGCCAGAATACGGCCCAAGGAAGAGCCGTGAGCAAGGCCCATTGTTATGACATTTTTCCTACAACACATTAGAAAATTACAGAAAAGAACATTGATTTGGGGATCATTTCATCGATTAGGTTTTCAGTTCTCTTCGTTGTCTTGTCTCACAGCCACACACACAAACACATCAATGGAAGTAATCACAGAAGGAGTGAACAACATCAATATCTCTGATTCTACTAAGAAGAATCGTATTCACGTCTCCAACTCCAAAAAACCCATCTTCTTCTTCGTTAATCTGGCCAAGGTAATCCGATAAACGATTTATTTATTTTTGTTTTTAGTTGATTCAGACACGTTAGGTTTTATTGAATTGTTGTTTTTTTTGTTTTGTTTTGTTTTGCAGAGTTATATGAAGCAGTATAATGAGGTTGAGCTTTCAGCACTAGGATCGGGTATCAAATCTTGAAACTGGATCTCATTCATTAATGTTTTGCCATTTTTTGATTTGGACTTCGATTCTTTTTAATTGGTTTGGGTTTTGAGGTATTTATTGCTTTTATCACTTTAACTATGCGAGATTAAGAATGCGTACACAGAAACTACATTGATTTGTAGATGTTTCTCTCAGAAGCACAATGTTACACAAACTACCTAATCTTGTAGGCAACCTCTGTATGTTTTAACTCTTAAGGCTTCCTCAGGTTGAATTGCTGTTTATTGATAAGCTATTCCTAAATGTTGTCAATTGCAGTAAATAGCATTCCGCTATGCTACAATAGTTGATCGTGGAACTTCGAATTCTGCTATGCTATAGCCTCTATTTGACTGCATTGGTTCTCAGGTCTTTAGAGAGTTGTTTAGGTTAGTTTGGCTACTTCTGTGACCCTTTCTACCCTGAGCATGGGCAGAGAAAACTAGATGTACTTCAGTTAGTTGCGGTCTAGCACGTTTCTCAAAATTAAATGTGTATTATGCTAGTGTCAACGGAATCATATGTAAAGAGAAATTGATATTTGAGGATAAAGGAATTTAAATAGGACTTGAAAGTAAATAGATTTGTTGTTTGATTTCGTTCGTCAAATTTGAATACAGTGTTGTCAATGGCGGCAAGCCTAATTTTTGCCATATAAAGACGCCATTCTGGCCTACGGAGCCGCCATTTGTGGGGTTATCATCCCTTCACAACTTGCCATTTGCGAGGGTGTTAACTGATTACACATTTCACTTCAGAAGGTTTCATAAGTTGGAAACTAATTAAGTCGGGCTTCAGTATCGTCCTGATTTATATATTGAATCTTTTCTCGGTCATCCTTTCTTTTTTCTGATTTCATTTTTTACATTATTATTGTTACAGCTATTGCCTCAGTGGTTTCTGTTGCAGAAATTCTGAAACACAACGGACTTGCTGTGGAAAAAAGTGAGATACTATGTCTTTTTTTCGCAAACTGTCTCCATCTCACCTTTCTCTTTCCGGTACTCGAATAATGGAACAATTAAATTTGTTTGCTGAATCTCTTTATGCAGAAATCAGAACATCAACAGTTGTCCTAGGTAATCCCAGAGGTAGAGCTGTGCAAAAGGCCAGGGTAAGGGTGATCATAAATTTTTCTCTTCAATCTTCAACGATCCTGCTTTATGAGTTTCTTATTAAGCCTCATTTGTTGTGTTTTTAGATTGAAATAGTACTCGAGAAGACTGCAAACTTTGACGAGTTGATGGCTGCTGCTGCAGCAGCTGCTGGAAATGGTGAAAATGGAGATAATGAAGAGCACACCACTGCTGCTCCTGCAGCAGCTGCTGAAAATGGTGAAAATGGAGATAATGAAGAGCACGCTGCAGCTGCTGCTGCGGCAACTGCTGGAAATGGTGAAAATGGAGATAATGAAGAGCATGCCGCGGCAGCTGCTGAAAATGGTAAAAATGGAGATAATGAAGAGCACGGCTCGGCAGCTGCTAAAAATGGAGACAATGAAGAGCAGGCCGCATGAAGTTCACCCTTATAACCTGTGTTGGGTTAAGTTATGTCCTCTTGAATGAATTGTTTGATTGTTGTTAGTGGATGGCAGACAGAAATATAATAGTATGCTAGACTGATACGTTACCAATAAGTTACAAGGCTATGCTCTTGTCACTGCGCTAACCCCTCATGCGTATATTTTACAAATTGAGGTAGCAAATAATAGTCATGGTGTGAATATATGATATTTAACCTGCTTGTTACACTGTTTCACAACTTTATATGTTTTCGAAAGTGTCTATTTAGATCACACAAGTGTAGTGGTTTGGTTTAGATACATAAATCCAAATTGATGTTAGAGGATGGAGAAAGCAGTGTTAATGGTGGATGGCAGTCTATAATGGTGAGCCAAAAATCCTGCCATACCAGGCGCTTTGCAGCGCTGTTATAGCGGATTATGGCAGAAAAATCTGCAATATCGGCCAATATTTATCATTGCTGCAAGCTCAAAATCCGCCATGGATATCTGCCAGCGCTGCCATGGTTGATATTTGATAACAGTGGGAGAAAGTGTTATGGCGGATATTTGACAACACTGGGAGAATGTGGGACTATGGAGCTTATGGGGTTGGTGTGGGACTATGCTAATCCACCAATGTGCCACGGTTCAATCACAAAATAGAGAGTGAAGATATTGAGCAAGAAAGCATGAGAATACCTTCACAAGTGGCCTAAAGAAGGTTGGACAAAGGCATATCTCAAAGAAAATTCCCACTTACAACAATTGTGAAGTATTAAACTGCAAAGAGCCTAAATTAAAAATGGACGCTTAATTTAAATATGGCTAAAAATGTTAGATGCCATTGAATGAGAACAATGAGTTACAAAATGTTAAGTTTGCTAGTAGAGTCAGACCTATTTGGACAAGTTGAAAATTCATAACAATATATGGATGTTGTATTAGACATGTCCTTCTCGAGGCTGCTACCCCTCAAACTAAATCTAGCACCCCACATTTTTCTTAATTCTCAAAATGCCCATGAATAAATTTGGGGTGAAAAAAAAAATGAAATTTTGAGTAGATTTGCGAAATCTTCGGTTATTCATTTTTAAATTTTCAGTATAATTAAAAAAAAATTATATTATTTTTATACTACTAGAAATTTCGAAATACAATGAAATTTCTTACTATTGAAAATTTCAAAAAAATCTGACATTTTCTTGAAATTTCTGGTAATGTAAAATTTAGGAGCAAAAGAATAATAGCACTATCATTGAGGGGTGTCAGTTATAAGTGTGAGAGTGACAAGTTAAATCTCCGTCCTTCTCGTTTAAGGTATCAAGTCCAATATTACAGTGTAAAAGTGGATGTAGATCTGGGTGCATGCAGGTTTGAGTAGTTGGGTAGTTGACTAGTAATAACTTTGAGCAAAAATAATTATTTTTCAATGATTTTTGCTTGCAAATATATACAATATTATACTGATGTTAATTGTGATGCATTTATTAGAAAGTGTTTGTAACTTAATATTTTTTGCCCCTATCTTGATTGGTAAGACGAGACATGCGATGAAAGTTTCATACTCAACGTGATTATTGGTAGTGGAGAATTCAAAACATAGGGATACTTCACTCACCAACTCTACTTCATTTTCTAATATGAGTTTGGCCCCTCTCCCATGCTAATAATAATAATAATAATAACAATAATAATAATAATAATAATAATAATAATAATAATAATAATAATAATAATAATAATAATAATAATAATAACAATAATAACAATAACAATAATAATAATAATAATAATAATAATAATAATAATAATAATAATAATAATAATAAAAAACCATCTTTTAATTCAATTTAAAAATTTAAGAGTAATTAATTAAATAATAATAATAAAATATATCATCTTTTCAATATAGGCTGAAAATAGTTTTTTTATCACTTAGCCCTAATAATAATAATATATAAGGAGCGAATGTACCATTTATTTGAATCATAACAACGTCTCGTACCTAAACAAGAAGACGCTGCTGCTCAACCATTCCAAACAGGAAGACGCTGCTGCTCACAGGTTTGAATATAAAGATTCTTATCTTTTAGATTGTTCTGCATAAAGAATGGTGGTTTCTTTAAGATGACTCGAATATTTCAGTGTATTAAATTTTCTTGAGTAGGTTGTTATATTTTTCTTGGTGACAGTAAAGTATGTGGGGTAGTAGTGATTATGTATAGAAGCTGATTTGAATCTATAAAAGAATGATGCATCATAAACTTGAGATGATTTGGGAGCGCGTTTTGATTTATTTTTCGTGTTAACAGTCAATAATCATTCATGGATAAACTGGTCGAGTCAGTTAGTTAAAAACAACCTGTAAAATGTGAGGTAAGAAGGGAACAAGAGAAAAGGAATAGAATGTGTCAGAACTTCACATGGCCATAGCAGGCGAAATGGAAACAAAAGCGAACAACATTTTCTTCCTTTCTTTTTTTCTTTTCTTTATTATTCTACTTTGACGCTTTTAATTCACGAGGAGCGGGTTTCGTCTTCTCGAAGAAAAACAAATGAAGTTATAATTAACTCCTGCGCTTGATCTGGTGAAACATATGAAGCTACAAAAATTAGTTTTCACACCTCATCAAATATATACAGAAACATGCATTGAACAAGAAAGAGAATGTGAGAGTGGGTTATGTTTATATTATTTACTTAACTGGTATGTTTTCTTTTGGTGTTTCAGGACACTATGGACCCACTACCTCCCTGGAGGAATATTAACATGAATAATACGGATTGGTGAAGGTCTTTCGACATCCACAATGAGTTGGAAGCCGCAAATTATCTCAATCAGCTTTCAGAAGGTGTGTTGATTGACGTTTTGACAAAGGTAGAAACTAAACAAGCAATATATGTTTGCTCTCATGTGCTACACCAAAGACACGTGAACACTTGGAAGCGGGTAAACAGTCTATGTTTTAACAGTAACTCTCATCAAAATCTGAATGATTTTGATGAGTATGTACATCGCGTTTTAACGCAACGTGGCAATTTTAAGGTTAACACGTTACAGTACCACCGCTGCGGTGAGGAGAATAAAACCAACGAAATTTTACTTACAAGGATGCTGCAGTATTCATTTGACCATGATGTGGAAAGCATCTGGATTAACTTAAAAACTTTGCATGGTCGAAGTACAAGGGTAACCTTTCCTACTTTTATTTTGGAGTCTAGTACCTTAAAAGTGTTACGTTTGGATTTTTGCGCCTTAAATAATTTGAGCCTTAGCAAAGAAGGAAAGTCTTCGTCCATTGAAGAGTTACATCTCTTAAATCTTGCTACTCGATTTATTGTACCTTTGCGTCATCAAAGAATGAGGTTCCCTTCTTCAATTATGTCTCATCCGTTTGGGTTTACTTGGAATAGCCTCACGTCACTGAACATTCAAAAGGTTCATATTAAATGTGGAGAAAACCAGATTGTGTCCCCATTTGAACAAATGGTTAATTTGACCGACCTTTGTATAAGTCAGACCTTTTTTAGACCTTTCACACCTGCAGAATTTGTTATATCAGCACCCAAGTTGAGTAATATCAGGCTCACCCTCAACAAGTTTGGTTGCAAAGTTACTGTCATGGGAAAGAAACTAAAAAAAATGGCGGTTTTAGTTCGTGCCCTTTGGCTAAAGGTTCAATTGCATTATATTTCTATTGAAGGAGGACTGTTAATAATCACAGAAGAATCAAAAGTAGTTGCTTCTGAACATGGTCTCTTTAGAGTAAATTGGACCCAGGAGATAGGGAGTGTTGTCGACATGTCATATGATAGATTTGATCAAGTACGTAAAATTAATTAATGTTATATGCTTTTTCATTATGCTTTTTCATTCTGATTGAATTTTTAAATGATATTTAAAACTCTTTCAGATGGTGTCGGATACAGATATGGTTCTCCAAGCTGAAAGTCTGCCATCAAGTCTCCGTATTAACTACAAATGCATAGAGGGAGGTGTGCAGCATGTGATGGTCTGATAACTGAGTTGATGGCTTGTAGCTGAAATGATAAGCCTTGTATAACCAACTTAAGGTTTTCTGTTCGACTAAACTTCTTAACTGTCCAGTAATCATACATGTACACATGGTATAGCCCAAACATGTACTACTATTATTGACTTAGTAAAAAATCTCAGTAAAACCTTGTAATCATTTTGTTTTAGTTTTAGCAACTTAACTACAATCCCTACAATGGTAATCATTTTAATTGGAATGTAAATTTCTTTTCATTCATGTAAATACTAAACAACATTTTTGAAAAAACTGGTGATGTTAAATAAATCAACAATGAGCATACGACATGCTTAACTAGTTTACAAAGCAAAACTCATTATATCTGACCATTCACAACTCACACAAAAACTCTTATTATGACAAAACACCAAGCACAATTTTTTACAACATAACAACAACAAATCATACATGTGGGAGCCATTAAAGTCAAGCAGAATGCATTTTTCTTTCTTTTCACATTATAGATTTTAAATGAACTTAAATGTACAAAGATGAAAAAGACAAAATAAAGAAATAAGAAAATGAAACAAAATTTAAAAAGACGAAGAGGGAATAGTAAGAAGTAACAGCCATTAAAGACGATTATGTTGAATGAGAAAGAGAATAAGGATCAAGGCATGGAAGTTAAGCTAATGCAACATTGAAAAGAGAACATCGTGATCACTAATGACTTGCACTACAAGCTATCGGTACCAAAGCTAAAAATTCAGTTACAACTATTTTGAATTAAGTTGAGATAGTTAATTATGATCACATATATCTAGGCTTAGCGTTGTTATTGTGTGCTTGATTGAAGCTAGTATAAAGCTCAATGTCTCATCGTAACTCATTAGATTTAGCAATGATAAACTTATTATTCTCTCATTTTATTCCAATTTTACTTTCTCAATATGATATCATGAACATATCGATCCGAGAATGCTTCATTTTCGCATTCGTGGCTTCACGGACTTCCAC